TCGTTTTGTTATGGTGGTTGTGGCATTCCCGGCATGCCGGGCAAGCATGGTACTCCTGGGGCACCAGGCCGCGACGGACGTGACGGACGTGATGGCCGTGATGGAGCTAAAGGCGATCAAGGATTGCAGGGAAAGACTTGACCTCAGGGACCTCCTGGTGATAAGGGACCTGCTGGTGTAAAGGGAGAGGTAGGGGCTAAAGGAGAAACTGGAGCCCAGGGTCCTCCCGGTCAAATATGGGAACTTGACCCGATGCCGTTTAAGAATTGGAAAGAATGTGTCTCGAAAAACGTGAATGATGGAAAGGATAGTGGTCTGATCAAGGTGAGTCGTGCATTGGCGATTGATCGGCATACAATTATCAAATTTACACACAACATAGAGCATGCAGCAGCCATTTTCCAGAAGGCCTTTTGCATACCAACGAATATCTAAAGGCTTCTGGCCGCGCACTCATTATAAAGCGACATTCTCTATATAGCAGCCTAGTTACACACGTAGGCTTGTATACGGAATTCTGTAGGCAGAATTTCGAGCGCGTAAGGTACTCTTTCCAGTATTGTCAATGGTATTCACTATTGGTCATTATCAAAATAAAACTTGAAAAAAAATATAAATATATACTATATATATCGTGACGCGACGAATTATGGACAAAGTGGCTTAATTTACTGTGATTAAATTTTAGCTCATGTTCTTGAACCATAATTATAAATAGCTTTTGCAATACTAGTATGTACTTGTATGGTTCTGCTAATAAAGCTTGTAGTTGTTGTTGTTGAATTCGAAACTTCAACATCCCCCAAGGCCCCGCCCCCCTACCCCTGGGCATTTGAACTTTTTAAGGCACGCCTGATCAAGTTCTCCTTCTCTCCTCCGCAAAGGCCCACGCTGGGTATCCCATTGTCTCCCGCGCGCTTCCTTTTTCTCTCTCCCCAGCTTCACTACGATACAGAGAGGCCTTTGCGGAGGAAAGGGAAATTCTCCTTATACATTACGGCCTAATGTAGTAGTCAAATGACTCTCCCAAAGAAGAAATGTTTTGAAGATTATATGTTGTGTGGAAGAAAGGTAAATGTTTCGGACGTCTAAAAGTAAGTCGGGCTTTAGCAGAGACAACCACACAGTCACGTAGCCTCTCTTGTTAGTACTTGAATCACCATGACAACAGGGGTTGATCTTTAAGGAAAGACGTCATCTGTTCTGTTGATGGGATTCTGACCATTCATATTGGAGAAACAGTGTGGCGTGATACCTTTTAAGAACAAGGCAACACTGCACTTGTGGAAACAGGTTCACTTCTGCCTTTGGTTTGGGTACAGTTACGTGCGCTGAACACAGGATCAAGACTGCCAAGGTACATTTACTTAATCTTAACCAAGGAGAGACTTCTTTTTAGTTAATGGCTTCCTTGTTTAACATCAGGAAACTATTGCTTATTGGTAGCCATTCACTCAAGAAAGTTCAGGGGAAGAGCAAAAATAATTCACAGATCTGAGCTTCTGTGTGGGTACCCACGGACGTGGGTTTCGTCGGGTGTTTTCCATCAAATCGTTGGTTTTTCTGGCGAAATCGTCGCATATTAAAAATTGCATGCTTTGCGCGATGTAACGCTGCTAACGAACTCCATTCAACCACTGCGACGAGGGAAACGAGAAAATAAGCGAAAAAAAAAAACCTCTGAACGTGCAGCGCACTTTTTGCAAGTTTCGTTGCCGTCCTTCCATGCACAACAAATGTTTTCAAACTTAATTGAAATGGCAATGCGATCGTCGCTTTAATCTCTAAGATGGTCTCTTCGTCAATGGTGATCGTCGCGACTTCGATTTCGTCGGAAATACCCATACAGAGGCTCACATCTACAGTTTTCTAGAGATTTTTACTTTCAGTCTGTGCGTGTTACTGCAATGCAAATGCTTGCTATTGTATGTAGCAAAGATTACTTGCATGTGTTAATAACAATCAAAGTAGCCAAATTTAGTAATCAAAGCTTTACGACGAACACTTGCGCATTATTGTTACGACACACTGAGTGACTCCAGTTTACGTGCACTGTTTCTGTTCCCTAACAACTGAAATTTGAATTGCGTGTTTAAATAAGGTGCTAAGTACTTAAGCTGATTTAAAATTCTTTTTAACACTCCCCCGTGCTTCGTATTACGCATGTGCACAGCAATATCCCTTTTGAAGAATTAGTCACCAAGGGTTAAAAGTTCATCTTATTATTTCAACTTTGTTTTGTTCAAGTTAAGTAAATATTTTCGGACCACAAAACTGCTGGGTTATTGCAATGAACACTAAGCAATAATAACTGATGTTTGTGGAGGTGGGGTGGGGGGAGGGGGGGGGGGGGGGCGTGAAAGTACCAGGCTAAAGTGCATCATCCTCTTTTCCACAGGCAGCTGAGGAGCTTTTGATAGATCTGGTCAAGTGAACTGGTCGAACTGATCATCATGCTAAGTTTATTAATGTTACTGCTGGCCATGATGACTTCTGTAACGGCAACTAGCGGCAACAAACAGTCCGCACAAACCACGGTACAATTTTTTTAAACAACTTTTGAGCAACTTTCGCTGCAAAAAGAGACTTTTGACTTTCTTTGAGGAGCTTTTGGGCAACTTTTTGAGAAATTAACGGATTTTTTGGGGGAGATCTCAAGCAACATGCGGAAAGCTCTCAGGACGCTACGCCACTGACATTTGACTGAAGAAAGACGTGATGGTGGAGAAGTGAAGATAACACCTATTTAAGAAGCAGACAGGAGAAGCGAACACATAAAAATGAAAAAATGCCACCTTTTCTGAATCTGAGACCTTAGGAAACTGAAATTTTCAAATAAAAATTAGCCCATTGTACAAGCATTTTTCTTATATAAGGAAAGGTCGAGCTGTTTCTACTAAAAGTACACATACCGGCATTTCTGCCTTTCAGGTTTTTGATCAATCAGTCGAAGGATAACAAGATATGTTTTTTATAATTTTTACTATTTTCTTGTTTGAAAGAAGCAATCTCCATCGTTTTGTTATGGTGGTTGTGGCATTCCCGGCATGCCGGGCAAGCATGGTACTCCTGGGGCACCAGGCCGCGACGGACGTGACGGACGTGATGGCCGTGATGGAGCTAAAGGCGATCAAGGATTGCAGGGAAAGACTTGACCTCAGGGACCTCCTGGTGATAAGGGACCTGCTGGTGTAAAGGGAGAGGTAGGGGCTAAAGGAGAAACTGGAGCCCAGGGTCCTCCCGGTCAAATATGGGAACTTGACCCGATGCCGTTTAAGAATTGGAAAGAATGTGTCTCGAAAAACGTGAATGATGGAAAGGATAGTGGTCTGATCAAGGTGAGTCGTGCATTGGCGATTGATCGGCATACAATTATCAAATTTACACACAACATAGAGCATGCAGCAGCCATTTTCCAGAAGGCCTTTTGCATACCAACGAATATCTAAAGGCTTCTGGCCGCGCACTCATTATAAAGCGACATTCTCTATATAGCAGCCTAGTTACACACGTAGGCTTGTATACGGAATTCTGTAGGCAGAATTTCGAGCGCGTAAGGTACTCTTTCCAGTATTGTCAATGGTATTCACTATTGGTCATTATCAAAATAAAACTTGAAAAAAAATATAAATATATACTATATATATCGTGACGCGACGAATTATGGACAAAGTGGCTTAATTTACTGTGATTAAATTTTAGCTCATGTTCTTGAACCATAATTATAAATAGCTTTTGCAATACTAGTATGTACTTGTATGGTTCTGCTAATAAAGCTTGTAGTTGTTGTTGTTGAATTCGAAACTTCAACATCCCCCAAGGCCCCGCCCCCCTACCCCTGGGCATTTGAACTTTTTAAGGCACGCCTGATCAAGTTCTCCTTCTCTCCTCCGCAAAGGCCCACGCTGGGTATCCCATTGTCTCCCGCGCGCTTCCTTTTTCTCTCTCCCCAGCTTCACTACGATACAGAGAGGCCTTTGCGGAGGAAAGGGAAATTCTCCTTATACATTACGGCCTAATGTAGTAGTCAAATGACTCTCCCAAAGAAGAAATGTTTTGAAGATTATATGTTGTGTGGAAGAAAGGTAAATGTTTCGGACGTCTAAAAGTAAGTCGGGCTTTTATCTTCCGGTCATGATAATATATTTTGTATTGATGAAACTTGGTGAACTTTATGATGTATCTGAGCGGGAACCTGTCCCCTCAAGGAACCAAATTAGGGCCTTGGCTTTTTTTGATTATGATTAACGACCTTGTTGTCAAAAATGCACGCTTATGGAAATATGTAGATGATACCACTATCTCCGAAAAAGTCGCGAAGGGGGAACTTATAATTAGCAACGCCCAACGTACTAAAGATAGAGTAGTGCAATGGTCAAAAACAGAGTCCAGAAATGCGAATATCCTTTACAAAATCCCAGCAAGAATTTGAGCCCATTCTCATTAACGGCGATGCTTTAGAAGTTGTAGAGAGTGTAAAGTTATTGGGTCCCAATATTTCCAGTGATTTGACCTGGAATATCTATATTAATGAAACTGTTAAGAAGGGCTACAAGAGATTATATATTTTTTGGTACAACTTAAGAGAGCTAAGGTTACTCGCACTGATTTAGGGCTCTTCCACTCTAGTTGTTTTAGATCAATTATGGACTATGCACTACTATCCTTTCACTTCAGTTTGCCTAAATATTTAACGCAAGAATTGGAACCTGTACAGAAGAGAGCAATGTCCAATGCTAGCTATCATTAGGCTCTTGTTATTGTGAAATTTAAGAAAATAGCAACCCACCATGACGAAATATGTGAGACACCTTTTCAAACAGTTGTCAATGACAACAATCGCCGTCTTTATAAGTTATTACCTGCACCGCACGAATCTACTTATTCATTAAGGCGTGCGCGATCTTTTAACATGCCACGTTTTAAAACTGACCTTTTTAAGAATAGCTTTATTATCTTTTCATGTCTTAAAGCAACTAACAGGTTAAAGTTTTCAAATTTCGCAGCTTGTATTTCGATAACTTTCTTTGGCATCTCATCTCTCGTCAGCTTCTTTATTCCTTTTAATTAAGATAGATTAGTTAATGCTTAGATCTATAATTTAAGTTTTGTAACGTAAATACGTAATTCAGTTTTCGAACTGCTATGTATTTATGAATTAATAAACTTCAAACAAAAAAAGGGCGGGAAATTAGGGTCATGGTAACAAAACAGCATACACTTAGCTTTTGAAGTAAAAAAAGCCATTCGTTTACAACAGATGTGTCTTAAACCGTTTCAAGTCTTCCATCTAATTATGAGAAAGATCGCATCTAGCGACGTCAAATACGTTGTCAGAAACCGGAACTTAAAAAAAGTTAAACTGGAGGCTTGCGGTTCAATTCCCCACCCCTAGGCACAAGTGATGGTCAAATGCCCGGGTTTTGCCGGGGAATGTTAAGGTTTCGAATTGGTCGGCGCCAACGACTTCCAGCTACCAATAGGCGTGACAACTGGAAAGTCAAAGTTCTAGCTGAAAACAGTCTCTAACGCTGGATGAAGGGTTTGGGAGGTGGAGGGAAGGACAAGTAACGGGGGCACCGTTTCTACGGGGTACGTCGAAGAGGGTCAAATTAAAAACCTAAAGGTGCATGATCATCATAATGGTGGATCTACTCCTAGCCAGTAAAATCTTGTATAGCACAAAATTAAAAAAATGCAAGGCTGACTACAGCAGTAGATTATATTAGTTCCTTTTTCCGAAAAAGGATAAATTAAGTCTCCCAGCTGTGACGTTAGCCTTGATCTTTACATTCATGACCTGATTTATTTGTCTATCCAAAACGACCTCGATCAATATTGGGCACTAGGCAGTTGCTATTAGATCTAAGCTAGATTTACGTTTTAGATTTCATTAATCTGTTACTGAGCCTCTTCATTAATAGCGGAGCTCCCGCGCGCGAAGCGCGCGCAGCGGAGCACCATGGGTAAGAAAATTTGGTAAACTATCCATCCCAGAAAATTTGGTTATGACGTAGCGTACGCCCGTCCGTACACACACTTCATGTAAGCCGATGTCAAATGTCACAATAGATCTTGCACAACTTGACTAGCCTCTTAGTTATGTAAGCCATCCGCATGAGTACGATTAGATTGACAGCTATCAAAATCAGACATCCGCTGACAATTATCACATGATCGTCTCGCGGGCTCAGATAAAAGACCAGTCGTTTTGCCGCTATATATAAGCTGTTATAATATGTCACACTTACCAATTCAACATAAAAACGAAACTACGTTGGGCAAAGCTGTCAGTTGGCTGACACTCGTTTAAAGTTACATTGGCAAGCCAAATTTAGGTCAATTGACAGCTGTCAAAATGGGACATGTGCAGACCGCTATCAGAAAACTAACAACGAGGGCTCAGGTTCGCTCAGGTACACGATCTGGCATTTTCCACTACATGCCGCACGGAAATGTCCTACTCACACTTGTAGTCTGTTAATTCGAATATTCGCCATTCTAATGAAGGTTAATTGACAGCTGTCAAACTAGAGTATACGCTGACCATCATCACCTGAGTGGATCGCGGGCTCATTTTTCTATCTATTGAGGTCACGTAGTGTTTAAAGTTTTGCGCTGATATTTTATTTGATCACGGGCTCAATTCGAAGCCCCATAGCTTTATAGAAAATCTCTCCATCCTAGAAAATTCGGCAATCACGTGACCGTACACCGACCTTCCGTCCGTCCGCACCACAGGCATACCAATGTTTAATCTCACACTTTCTAGCTAGTTTGGGAACCTGCAACCTGATATTGTACATCCATGTTTTGATTAATTGACAGCTGTCAAAACAGTGTTTCTGCTGACCAGTATCGCCTGACCGTATCGCGGGCTCAGGTATCGACCCTCTGACTTCGAGTAATATTTTGAAGGTATTCGCTGACAAGTTGCTACTTTTCAAATGATCGCAGGCTCAAGTTCAATTTTTTTAAAATGCATATGAAATAAGTCGTGTTTCATGAGCCGCTCTTTTAAAATGTTGATTTCGAACTGATCTCGGACACGAAAATTCAACCGGCTTTTACATTTACATGCAGGGAAGGCAATCGCTTTTGACTTTTCTCACTGTCACGCGTTGATCACGCTCTACGTCCAATTTTTATGTTCTGATTGGTCAAAATTTGACAGGTGAGTTTATGCGGAAAATTTTTGCAGCGTCTGGAAACTTGCTTACTGATAGCTGGAGCTGAGAGAGTTTTGTGTCATCTTGTGATGTTTTAAACTGTCTTTTTCTACTTGGTGTACAAAATGAAATACAGCTGCTATCAAGATTGTTCTGTAATTCGTGGCTGGTTTGTTTATTGCGCTTTTTGTTGACAAATGCACCGCTTGTCAAAGTCATTGGAAATCCGATTTCGGATGGCATCGTTTTCAAAAATGAGCTTACTCACTTGCCCTTGCTTGAGGCGTAAGAAGGTTGAAAAGTCTCAAGCGATTCTGGAACACTTGATGACCTTCAGAAGCAGCATCTTGACTGGTAAGCTTGAGCCATTATTGTTTTTGATGTTTTTTTTTTTTTTTTTTCGGTTTCCTGAAGTCGAGCGTATGGTTTATGTGGCTTAAGTTAAAACACGAGCAATGATCTAACCTACAATAGTATCAGGTTTAAAAAGCCTTTAGACATTTTTTGACCCGCAAATTCAAAGAAAAGGTTCCGAAGATTATTTAGTTATGATTTTGCCTGTAAACAGAAAGCTCTGAGCGATTTTCTTGCCTCGAGTTCATCTTGAAAAAGAGCGAACACCGGGAAGCCGGCTTAAAACATAAATAAGCTTATGCTTGCCTGACTCATGATTTTCTGAGACACTTTACTCTCAATACTTCTCTTCGTGAATGAAAATTATTGTCTCTGTACATGTTTCACCGAATTAAACTTATTTTATTGATTGTTAGTAGTCCCTCTCGCAATTTTCATCGCTGCACCGGTTGTTTCCAGTCGAACATAAACATCGCATGTAGGAATACTCAAAACGCCGCGCGTAAATATCACTCGCTTTTAAAGATTACACATAACAAAATCATACACAGTTTAATGAATAAAGGGAAATAAAACCTAAACATAACAATTTCTCTATCATGTTGAAGCGTAAATGGTAACTCTATTAATCGCACTGCAAATTTGGTGCCTGTCAAAAGTGAGAACCCGTCCGGCTGGCCGAAAAGTGATTTTGGGAATTTTTTTTATCGTTTTCATTAAAAGCCCATAATTATTACCCCGCATATCACATAGGACCAGATTTTTCTAACAGAAAACGTTTTTTAATTCAATGCTATAATTTGTTGTGCAAAGGAAGCGCGTGCTTTGATCGTCGTGGATATTGAATGAGTGCAAATTCTCTTGCAAAATTGTGAAAAACTGCAGAATTATAGGTTTAAATAGGGCAAAAAAGAACAAATTCTGTCCGAGGTCTGTGTACTGTTTACCTGAGACGTGATGAGAAAAAGTATGTTTAAAAGGCTGGTTTACACGCCACCAGATTCGTCGCCAAGATTTACTAGTAAACTAAACTTGTCGAACACAAAAAATCCGGCCTGATTTTTATTTTGGCCTCTCTTTTAGACAGAGGAATGCAACGTGTAAATTGGCTGCCACCAAGGACTATCGTGGCGCATGTGTTTCTTAAAATTATATTTCGGGGTTGTCCAATTATCCATAGTCTCTCTAACGGAGCAATGTTGGAGAGACTGGTGAATGCCACATTATGATGCTACAGCTAATGCAAATACAATACACGAATAGGTCTATTTGTTTTCCAGGCCTAATCTACTGTGATCGAACATGATTGCTATTTTTCGGTGTACAAATAACTTGATGTAAAATTTGTTTCACTCTTGGACGGTCAAATTCTGATTTTTCTCTAAAATCACTCAGCCTTTGCCTCAAAAGTCAAATGAATGTGCCCTGATCTGTGGATTACAAGTTTATTGTTTGATTTAAGTTATGAATTTATTAACGGGAGCTTCGCTTTTAGCCCTGGCTAAATCTATATATTAGATTTTCTGTCAAATTCTTTGTATTTTTTTGTAGGACTGTGTTTTCACCAAAAACTTTTCTGATACCGCCCTTCATGTTTACTGGACGGGTACATTGAGAATTCATCGCTGCAATCACTGCTGCAAACGTTGGTACTTCACTTTCAATGGCGCGGAGTGTTCTGCTCCTCTGCCCATTGACGGAGTTGTCTACATGGCGACGGGCGGTAATAAAGATCTTCATCGCGTCCGCCATATTGAGGGGCACTGTAATAACATCCATAAAGGAAAGGTGCGCGTGGGATTCTGGATCGGCAACTGCGCTTCATATGGAAACGCTGATGGCGCAACAGGATGGAATTCAGTGTCCCGTATATTTGTTGAAGAAGTTCCTAAAGCTCAAGCTTAAAAGTGACTTTAGATTAAAGTCACTCATGAGATCATGAGTTATTATGAGTTCTTATATTACAAAAAGTAAAAATAGATAAAAGACTTTGAAAGAGAGTGAGTGATTTCGACCCCTACGTGGTTGGGTAGTCTGTTGATGATGTTTATTATAGTTTTAGAGAGTAGTGCTTCAGATTGTTAAAAACTGTAACTCACAAGTCCGGGATTTCAGCACGATCTATTAACATATGATTAAGACGTTTATTAAAGTGTATAACTAAAAAGAAGCATTTGCTGTTTGAGCTTTTTTAATTATTTCTCATTCAAAGCAATTCTTCTTAAGGTTTGATAATAGAGAGGTTTTTACCTTACCTGAAACTATATATTCAAACCTCAGCATTTCTCGCCAGTAGACTAAAAGCAGGGAATTAACTTAGGTTGCTTTCGAAGTTTAAGGCAACTCTCATAAGTTTAGTGATCGGGGAGGGAACATTTTATTATGTTTACACTTGTGATAGCTAAGGACAGCTAATTGTATGCCTGAGAGTTTTGGTTAAAAGCTCCCCATTTCAGTACCATTTAGCAACTGAAAAGTGCTCGCTAATAAGTCGTCGTTTTTTTTTTTCGCTCCAACCTTCACGCCAAGCTCCTGTTCTCATTTTTCTTGCACGGTCAGCTCTTTAATCCATTCACTAGATAACCATGTTTTTTTTCCCTCCTGACTCAGGTGATTGTACCAGTTATACAACGGCACAATTTGTCCACCCCCCTTAGAGTCGTCGGCTAGCCGTACTTGTTTAACACCTGGTATGCTTGTCCTTAAGCTCTGGATCATGATAGATGTATTGAATAATAATAATAATAATAATAATAATAATAATAATAATAATAATAATAATAATGGTAATGATAATTAATAATAATTAAAGAAGTGAACAGAACAGTATTCCTATCAATTATTTATTTTTGAAGTAACTGAGCCCTTGTTCAGACGTCATACTTCACATGAGTCGGATCAATTCCAAAAAAGGGCCCGTTTACACAAAGGTGGGGGACCCCAGGTTGGTGAGGTAATTCGCATAGGTGGGGTAACCTTCCTGTAGAGACGATTTAAGATTTAACTGGAAATTTTGACAAAACCACTGCTCGGGAATGTAAAAAGTCCACTTCCAGTTGGCGTGCGTCGTTCAAAAACGCCTTTGCTTAAGTTCCCTATTATATGGACAGGCGGGTTACCCCACCTAAGCGGATTATCTCACCTACCTGCAATCCTCGTCACACTCAGCTGCGACACCCCTTGCTGTACCCATATTTCTGACAAAAAGTTGAGTTGTGCTCCTTCCCCCCAGCCCCCGTGTTGATCTTTTTGCTTCTGACATGAAAACTCGCAAAAACCATGGGGAGGGGGGGGGGGGGCAAAAAAAACCCACCCGCAACCCCCGTCCCCCTCAGCGGCGCCACCCCTTGCTGTCCCCAATTTTCTGACAAAAAGTTGAGTTGTGCCCCTTCCCCCCCGCCCCCTTGTTTATTTTTTTGCTTCTGAAATAAAAACCCGCAAAAACCAGGGGGGGGGGGGGGGGGGGCAAAAAATACCCCTACTGTCCCAACTAATGTGACGAGGTGACGAGTATTGCAGTCCTCGTCACATTAAGTTGGGACACTCCGTGCTGTACCCATATTCCGACAAAAAGGTGTGCTCTCTGCTCCCCCTGAGTTTTTGAGTTTTTGTAATTGTTGAGGGGTCTGGTTCCAGTAAGAAACGTATTCATTTTTTATTACACCGACATACCGTTTAACTTTAGAGTCATTCAATGAATTATACAGGAAAAGTCACAGTTTAGATCGTAGTAGTCAACCATCTTCATGAGATTAGAGTAAAAGCTATTTTCCCCGCTATAATAAGGGTCAATTGAAATTTTTAAGCCTTGTTTAACGATAGAATCTTCATCTTTATCTTTCAAGTTGCTGAAGTAATTTAGAATCTTTTTATTTATATCAATGATCTTGGGGAATTTACCGAGTTCAGCTCTACATGCAATGTTGGAAGCCTTGCCAGTGTGTACTTGTAAATCAGAGCGTTTACAGAGTTGTAAATAGGTTTTCTTACAGAACTGTCCCAGGACTTAAAATCTGATTTAACAAAAGCACCCCAAACTTCACTGTTGTAGGGTAAAATTGGTGAAATCATTGAGTCCAAAATTTTACATGCAAGTGACGGCTTAAGGCCGTTGAGATCTGTGTGCCGTCTTAAGCTGCTGAACGCGGCATGATAATATATTAATAAGGACTTCGTCTGGCGGCGATGGTTTTCCAGAGGAGATTGTTTCCCATACGCCATAACCGTCAATTCGCTTTGGATATTTTCGGTCAACACTGCCTCCTAACAGCAAGAAAGGTCTTAGTTTATAGATTAGATTTTATTGACTAAAGACGTCAATATGGACTTAATCCACTCCTACTAGATTGATTAACGTTGGATACCAGTCCGTCACATGCAAAAATTCTTTGTTTTTCAAGCCTTTTTGTTTCAGCAATTTTCATCATTTTCCATATGCAAAAAGCCTCCATACAAATGCAGCCCCTCCGGCCCCTTCCTCCGGACACGGCAGTATGTTTTGTACCACGGAGGGGCCAATTGAAACCTTCTGAGCTTGATAACCCGCCGTTATCAGTACTGAATATAACAAGAAGTGTGTCATCCCATAAAGTGTAAGACGTAACGTTCTCTTTGGTTGTGTGGTTGAAAAAATATGGTAAAGTCATTCGGTGTTTGAGCCTCAGCTTTTTCGGCACAAACCCTTTGCAAAATATGAAATGCACTCCAGGTCTTATAATGCTTCAAAGCAATAACATGATGCATAATAATGCATATGCATAATTTTGCTCAAGGTAATCTGAACATAATTGCCTGCAAGTATTCTAAATAGATCATTTAAGACCATCAAGGCCGGGGGGAGGGGGCAGGGCCTAGGCTCTTATACCTGACACTAACCCTAACCGTTCCTCCCGGCTCCCATACCTGCCGTTCCTCTTGTGTCTCCCAGCTCCCATACCTCGCACCTCCCAGCTTCCGTACCATGCATCTCCTGCTGTCGCCTCCTTTTTTCTTTGCTTCCTCCCTTAAGGACTTTTTAGATTGCAAAATATTAAGTATTGCTGCCTAGTTTCCCTCTATTTCTCCCGCTTCCTTCCCTTTAAGAGTCTTATCCCCGGCTGTTTTCTCGGTTATTTGGAGCAACTTTTGATGCGGGGTAACTTGATTAAAGTTTTAGCAACAAGTTTGAGTTAGGTGATCGGTGTCAAGGGTTAGCATATAATTTTTAACAGCCTAAAAACAGAAGAGATCTATTTGCTTAGCCAAAACTGCCCTCCAACCAACATTTTGCCCGAAGTTTGAGGCAAATGTTATCTTTGGGTTGTGGGAGGGGGCGGGCAGTATTATCTATTAAACATCATTTTGACGCAGTTACTGTGAACTCTCAAGAACTCGAACGCGTAGATAGTGTTAAATTGCTAGGAATTACCATAACCAACACGCTCCAATGGAATTGTCACGTCTTGGATGTAATCCAAAAGGCCAAAAAGAGAATATACTTTCTTATATTACTTAAGCGTGCAAATGTTCCAGCACACGATATCATTTGTTTCTATCTTACTTGTATAAGGCCAGTTCTAGAATATTGTGCCCCCCTGTACCATAACGCACTGCCTGACTACTTAAGTAAGGATATTGAACGCATTTAAAAACGTACACTATCAATTATTTCGCCAGGCCTTTCTTACGATGACAGTCTGTCAATGTTCAACATGGCATCTTTAGAGGACAGACGCATAGATCAATGTAAAAAATTGTTTGATTCTATTGTATCTAATCCAGATCATAAGTTGCATCAGTTTCTCCCTCCCAAGAACTATTGTCATTACAACTTCAGAAGACAACGCCACTTTGCAAATCCAGTCATGCGCACCAAGCGTTTTTCTAGCACATTTCTGCCTTCTATGTGCAGGCGTTAGCAGTTTTTGTATAAAATTTAATACATCTAAAGTATAATTTTGTAGTTTTTTTTTTTAAATTAGTACATTTTCATTTTGTATAAATTGTATTTGTAAATTCATACAATTCAGTCTTAGAGGGCTGCCATATGATTTGAATTAAAGCTATCTATCTTTATCTTTATCCTATCTTTATCTATCTATCTTCGTTGATCAAATAGGGAAATAACGATTTTTAACTTTTGGACTTACTAACAAGGAAAATATTTGCATATGTTTCATAAAACAAGCCAGTGTTTCCATACAGGGACACTGCGTTATTTCTCATTTTTCATTTCTTTCTTGTAAATAACTTCTCAAAATCTAAGTTCATACATTCTTGGTTTCTATAGTTGACCAACCAGCAATTTCAAAAGTCAGAAAATTATAGGTTGTTTTATTTGAAAAGTTAATCAGGCGTGAGTGGCACCAGAGATGTGTTTTTTGAGCTCTTTCGTTCTGAGATAGGACACGGTTTGCGTCGCAATTGGGTCTGGATTTTAGAAGGAGTAACTTTTCCCATTTATTCATCTCTTGAGCTGTGCCATGATTAATTTATAGCCTCTCTTAGTTGTGGCCGCCCATTCGCATTCCAGCTCTCGAATCTATTTAAGTTTAGGAAAAAGGTAATTCGTTCTGATTATCGAGAGCTTGGAAACATATGGATAAAATTACAGATTTAAAAGGGAAGGGAACTCTCCAGGTTCAAGGAATCATTTGTTCGAGGGGTTAGAGAATTCTACTGTACACTCAGAGTCTTGTACTGAAAATACAACAGTATAATAAGCAATGACTTAATACATGTGATGTGGTTCTACCGCATTTCCCTCCCGCACAGATTTTCGGGGGCTGCTCCCTGTCCGAAATACGACACCCGTCGAGGAGTAATGCTCTCTCTTCATGCTGGTATTCTCGCTTATCTTAGGATTCTATTTTTTTTTGCCACAATCCATCAATCGTCGAAACTCTATGTGGTGGTTGCAAATCAATGGGAGAGGATGTTGCTGCCTCGTTACGTATGTAGATTGGTATCCTCAAATCTTTCTTTAGAGTGGAATTGCACTTCTCGACACTTAGCTACTCTACCTAAACGACCAAACCTCACAATTACAAACATATCACAGTTACTGTTTACGGTTTGGTTTTTTTTATGCCTGATCGGCTTCTAAATTTCAGCGAACCGCCGTAAGCATCGGTTTCGTACAGAAATGCCTTTGGAACCATTGCACTCTCACCTTCCCAAAAGTAAATGAAAACTTTGCATCTGACGCTGACCGTTACGCCGCCGTGTAGAGTATTCTAAGAGCTAATCTTTAAGAACACAACCTAAAACTCCGACGCCCGTCATCTCCGCGACAATAATTCGCATTCCTTTTTGTTGGCGCATGCTCTGCACGGCCAAATTTTTCGGCCATCAGCACAGAATCTTTAAAGACCTAATGATTCCATAATTGAAGCCTAGCTTGAACAGACGAATTAACTCCTACGTTGCGAAACTCTTCCCATCGAGAATTATGTAAGGATATGACATGTGCGATTAGTGGACGGTATTTTCTTACCCTGATGATGCCATGTAAAGTCGAATACGTTTGGATTTTTCTTTTTTAAATATATAAGTTTTAGCCTTGTAAACAGCTCAGTTTTTAAACCTATATAAGCGGATTTTATGGACAAAATAACATTCCAGAAATATTTCTGGCTTTCACGGTTTTGTGAGTTTTAAAATAAAACCTTGATCCACGCCCAGATTGGTATTGTGCTTCACATTAGAGTTCATTTCCAATTTTCTGTCGAGCACGGCCCCTCCCCCGCCCTATACGCTTTCAGCTTTTGGAGTCCACCGGAGGAAAAGGGAAAGTCATTTTTTGCTTTGTAAGCTTTTTGACTTAATGACCGCTCATTTGGCTTCTTAGTGAACTATATTTTATTACAAAAGTAATTCCATTTGGCCTCTGTTTACTCTGGCACGTCCTTGTGGTTTTACTAGCAGTACCCTCTTACATTAAACTTTTTCTTGCAATTAAAGGGCTGTCCTGGGATAACTATATTTTAATTGAGGAGGGAAAAACGCTGAATTTTAGCATTCTAGTAATTCATGTTAATCTAATGGATCGAGTAAACTGAGATAGCGCTATCGTGAAAATGGCAGGATATGCAGAGACAAGCACACAGTCACGTAGCCTCTCTTGTTGGTACTTGAATTACCATGACAACAGGGGTTGATCTTTAAGTAAACACACCATCTGTTCTGTTTGATAGGATTTTGACCATTCATATTGGGGAAATGGTGTGACGTGATATCCTTTAAAACAAAGCAACACTGCGGCTGTGGAAACAGGTTTCACTTTTGCTTTTAGTTTGGCTGGTTGCACTGAGCTACGTGCGCTGAACACAGGAGCTACACTGCCAAGGTACATTTGCTTAATCTAAGCCAAGGGGGACTTCGTTTTAGTAAATGGTCTCCTTGTTTAACATCAGGAAACTATAACTTACTGGGAAGCCATTCTCTCAAGAAGGTTCAGGGAAAGAGCAAAAAATAACACGGACATCTGAGCTTCTGTGTGGGTACCCACGGACGTCGATTCCGTGGCGCGTTTTCCATCAAATCGTTGGTTTTTCAGGCGAAATCGTCGCGTATCAATAATTGCATGCTTTGCGTGGTGTAACGCTACTAGCGAGCTCCGTCTGTGCGACCACAACGAAGATGGAAACGAGAAAATAAGAGAAAAAAAAATTCTGAACGTGCAGCACACTTTTTGCGAGTTTCGTTGCCGTCGTTGCTCAACAAACGATGTCAGACGTAACTGAAATGGCAATACCATCATCGATTTAATCTCTAAGATGGTCGCTTCATCAATGGTGATCGTCGCGTCTTCTATATTGTCGGAAATACCTATACAGAGGCTCATATTTACAGTTTTCTAGAGATTTTTACTTTTGTCTGTGTGTGTTAGTGCAATGCAAATACTTCCTAGTGTATGTTGCAAAGATTACTTGCATGTGGTTATAACAATCAAAGTAACGAATTTTAGTAATTAAAGCACTTGCGCATTATCATAACAAAGAGTGACACCAGGTTACGTTCGATTACGTGCACTGTTTCTGCTCCGTAGAAACTGAAATTTGAATTGCGTGTTCAAATAACATAAGTACTTAAGCTGATTTAAAATTCTTTTTTACACTCACTGGGCTTCGTATTACGCATGTGCACAGTAATATCCCTTTTGAAGAATTAGTCACCAAGGGTTAAAAGTTAATCTTATTATTTCAACTTTGTTTTGTTCAAGTTAAGTAAATATTTTCGGACCACAAAACTGATGGGTGATTGCGATGAACACTAAGCGACAACGACTGATGTTTGTGGAGGTGAGGTGGGGGCACTAGGTGGGGTGGTCGCACCAGGCTAAAGTATATCATCCTCTTTTCCACAGGCAGCTGAGGAGCTTTTGACAGATCTGGTCACGTGAGCTGGTCGAGCTGATCATCATGCTTAGTTTATTAATGTTACTGCTGGCCATTATGACTGCCGTGACGGCAACCGGCGGCAACAAACAGTCCGCACAAACCACGGTAAGCTCGTTTAGAAAACTTTTTATAAAATTTTTCAGGGGCGTAGCGTGAGACTTTGTAGGTGTAGGCACGCGGGGAAGGAAAGTTGTAGTGCCGAAGGCGGCCCACCGTAGGTAAGTCTCGGAAATGCCACTTTCAGCGTTTTCTGCAGGATATTTTCAGTAGATTTATACTTAGGAAAAGCAATTAGTTGTGTATTTTTCCTAACTCTAGTGTTGTCGGTAAGGTACAGTGTTTACGGGAAAAAAAGGCCAGTGACGTCATCAGAATTATGGAAAAATAAAAGACATACATACTAACACAACATACATACTAACACAAGGATTCGGTAGTGGCGAAAAATGTATCATTCATTCCGATTTAATAATAAAAAAATGCTTTTTCAGGAAATAAAAATATATTTGTATTATACCAAGTCATTTCACATGAGATAATTTTCTTGAGCGCGACCAAGAGTTGTACGTGGTGGCGTACTGGTCTAAAGGGGCGAGCACATGGTAAAGCACGGTTAAAAACTATGACACCTGGAACGCCCTAGATTCTGATTGGTTAGAAACCAGATACGTTCCATACCTGCCGTGTGAACCTGAGGAAGTAAGTGCATTGTCATAAAATCCCATTATGATGACGTCATAATGTTGTCTTTTTTTTCATATTTTAGCTGTACATGTCCGCACGGGCGTATGTGATTATATGGACGCGCGGACGCTATGCCCCTGACATTTGACAATAGGGAGCTTAAGCAACGATGACGGCGACGTCAACGAGAACGGCAAAAAAGCAAAAGGTTTAGATTGGCAAAACAACAACTTTGCCCTTGCATCACGCTTTAATTTGTACATTTCTTTGCCGTCACTGCACGACTACGACGTGAAAATGCCTAATTTCAAATTTTGTGGAGGACTTAAACACAAGACAAGGACTCTCTCTTTCTTTTCCTGACCTTTGATGCAGAGTTTTAGAATTAAACTCCAGAAATAGTTGCCAACATTTGACGAAACAAACAAGATGAAATAAACGCGATAAAGTTTAACGCATCGCGACTCCTCTTCTTAAGTGACTTTTTCGTAGCCGTCGCCTTCGTTGTTGCTTAAGCTCCCTAATAAAGCTATGAGAGGTGAAGATAACACCTATTTAACCCGGAGTAGTCAAGTGATACAAATAGGTATCGATTTTTCAATCGATAAATCAATAAAAATCGGTAAATCTGATTTGATTAATGTCAATCGGTAGAAATCGCTGACACACTCGTTTCCCTTATCGATTTATTTTGATTTTTACCGATTTGATCGATTCATATCGGAAGAAACATCTGTTCATCAGTTCATTAAACCTGAATTCACGCAAATAGTAAATTTATTGACAATTGAGTGGCAATTAAGAGTCGAAGGATCAAACATCTATCACTATATTGTTGATCAAACATTATCACTTATAGAGAAATCTTTCCTTTAAAACCAGGTTTAAAATCTTCTTCTGATGGCTAATATTGGTCAAGCCGTTGTAGGCGTCCAGTTTTTCAGATCTACCACCCTTTCAAAATAACGTGGGTGTATAGATCCGGGTGCAGTTACATCCTGGAGGACCCGTACGACCCCGAGTAGTCAATGGGTAAAAATCGAAATCGATAAAATCGTTAAGAATCAAGTGATTTTTATCGATTGATAGCCGAAAACGGTGAAAATATATCGCGGAAAATCTTTGAGCCTGAATCCGACTCGAAGGAATGCCTGACATTTACGCCTTTTTTTATAAAGGGTTTTAGAGAGAAACTTGTGTGTAATAGTTTCCACATTTCTCATTTTCATGTTTGCTGATCAGCTGGGTAACTCGTGGCTGTGTTTTCGTAGCTGTACTCAGTCTGACTCATGCCAAAAAGAAAACAATGGCGGACTTCCGTTATAAATCGTTAAAGCCTTAAATAATCGATAATATCAATTTGATACAGCAATTCAGTTCATTAATTTTCACCGATTTCCGTTATCAATCGATAAAAATCACTTGATTGCTACCGATTTTTATCGATTGACTACTCCTGGTATTTAAGTAGCAGCCAGGAAAAGCCAACATATGAAAATGAAAAATTTTCCACCTTTACTGAATCTGAGACCTTAGGAAATTCAAAGTTTCAGATGCACATTAGTTCGTTGGACAAAAATTTTTCTGGAGATAAGGTAAGCTATTAATAGCTGTTTCTACTAAAAGTACACATACCGGCCTTTCTGTCTTTCAGCTCTTTGCGAACTAAAGCTAAATACAATCAGGATCAATCAGTCGCAGGATAAGATATATTTTTAATAATTTTTTATATTTTCTTGTTTGAAACTAGCAGTCTCCATCGTTTTGTTATGGTGGTTGTGGCATTCCCGGCATGCCCGGCAAGCATGGTACTCCTGGGGCACCAGGCCGCGACGGACGAGAAGGACGTGATGGCCGTGATGGAGCTAAAGGTGATCAAGGATTGCAGGGGAAGACTGGACCTCAGGGACCTCCTGGTGATAAGGGACCTGCTGGTGTAAAGGGAGAGGAAGGGGCTAAAGGAGAACCTGGGGCCAAGGGTTCCTCGGGTCAGAAAGGGGAACCTGGTCCGATGCCGTTTAAGAATTGGAAAGAATGCGTCTGGAAAAACTTGAATGATGGAAAGGACAATGGTCTGATCAAGGTGAGTCGTGCATTTGCGATTTATCGGCATACAATTATCAAATTTACACACAATATAGAGCATGCAGCAGCCATTTTTCAGAAGGCCTTTTGCTTGCCTAGTGCAAATACCAACAAACAGCTATTGGCTTCTGGAATGCTCTCTCATAAGAGGACATCCTCTATATAGGGGCCTAGTTACACACGTAAGTTTGTATAAATTCTGTCGGTAGAATTTTGAGCGCATAAGGTACTCTTTCCTTCAATGTCAATGGTTGGTTATTATCAAAACTTGAAAAAAAGACTTTTATAGTAATTGCAAAACAAGATAAATATAGGAATAAGAAAATACCATTTCAACTAATCCGAGAAAAATTAGGCGATGAATTCCTGCGTGGCAAAATATGTTTGAAAGGGAGGGGAGCGGGATTCCGGGCGCGCGACAAGCGCGAAAGTCAGTCCCTCGCGCGCTGTCTCGCGCCGAGATTCCCTTCCCCTTCTCTTACAAACGCCTGTCACCCATGCTGTGCAATGAGTTACAATTTCGGCATGCTTCAATGAGAGCTATGTATGTCCTTGTTTCCTGTCATATTTTTAAAACTCAAAATGCCCGAAGGCCTGAAATTTATTTCCCGGTATCCAGTACAATTTAGCTACTTACTTATGTGGGGCATAAAGACTGCAAAGATCCAACGCTGTCCGAGCCTAATTGCTCGCCTCTACCAATTCCTTTTTTAAGGTTCTTCTTCAGGTCGTATTTCAGTCTGCACGGTTGTTTTTCTCCAGTTTGTTCGCCCCTCCCCCCCTTGGGTATGGGTGTAGGGTTAACTACTCCTCACCGTAAAATCATGGATAATAGAAAGACTGGATAGGAAACTTATGTCACGTGGGCCGATTTCTTACCGCTGATTGGTTGTTTCGTGCCGCGAGATGGCGTTGGATGGTTCCATCATAGTGGAAGTTTGTGACGAAACGATGGCGAAAATGTGGCGCAAACCAGTCGAAATGTAGGGTTTGTTTGCCTGCATGTTGTTCTTTTTCGGAGTTTTTAGTGCTGCTTTAATTTTTGGTGTATGTTTTTCCCTTCGTTTGTCGTGTTATGGCGATGGCAACCCTTCAAAGCCACACTTGAACCTTCGAGGTAAGCACTTCTTGTTGTTGTTTTGTGTTATTTGTCCTTGTTTTTGAGAAAATTGCGCCCCAAAAATTCACCTTACCAGAGCCATATTTAGTACACTTGGCGACTGTTTTGGGACGCCTTTATTAAGACGGTTCCTTCCTCTTTCTATTCGTAACTACGACTGACAGATCCTTCAAGGATGGAATTGTGGCATAGGCATAGTTACAGACTGAGTGCTGTTATTTTCCAGCCATACATTTCGATTGAAAATGGCTGAAATAAACTACATTCGGAACTGGCCCCGAGCGAGTGTACGTACACGGTGTGTAAAGTTTCAATCGACAGACTAGTTTGTGTTGAAAACTGTTTCGCTCAAGTAATATGCTAATTGTTCGTAAAGCAATATGTTAATTTCGGTCATCTTTTAATGTTGAAATAACCTGCTAAATTACATATTCAGTGAATACAATCGCCTCACGTCGCTCCTCGCAGCTTGTATTCGAAGGCACTGAAGAGACTCGAATAAGTTTTGTACTTTTCCCTTACATAAACAAATAATTGTATCATGAATGGGAAAACACCTACTAACATTTTTTGGCCTCCGTTTGGGCTCCTAAACGTTGTTGTTATTATTTAAACAGTGTTTTAGTTTTCCTTTTGTTTGTCTTTATTGTAGGATTTGCTGAACACATTTAGTCATTAGAATGAAGACAGTATAATTGTGGTCAAGTACTCTTCTGAGAGGGCACAAACCAATCAATCTTTCTGTATTAAACAGCAACTTTTGTTATGCATGAGAGCCAGAAGGTGGCATCTAAGTTTCCAACCAAAGATGGACTTGATAGCACTATTATTGTATTCGTTTTTTTAGAGATCAAAGCAACAATGTACCTGTACCAAGATGTATTCTAAATCAAATTAATAAAACATATACATGTACTTGTTTGGGGTATGAATTTTTTTTTCAACAACATGATAATCTGACCACAGACAGTCAAGTATTTTTTCAATCCCTCATCCACTTACCTCAGACTAAACAAAAGCCCTGGATGTTACTGTTTTTTTTTTATAACCAGCTTCTTTTTTTTTTGGGAACAGTGTTTATGTTTATTTCAGAGGTGATTTACAGTATCCCCTATCCATGTCACTAACATTACAATACAAAAACTTTAACTTTGTTTCATCCTAAAAAAAAAGGTCAGCATCTCAAAGATAATATGTTTCTAAGTTTTATTAAGCCTTATGGAAGACAAGTGTTTCCTCGTGAAAAAGAAGTGAAGGCCCTTCTATTACACCAGGAGAGTTGTATTCTAGTAGTTAACAAGTAACCGTTGTATATAACATTTTTACAAGCGTTGCAGTTAGTTTTTTTAAAGACCTGACTAAAAAGTACCTTGGGTCATTGTACATTTATACCTGAAAACAACAAAACAACTTGCTTTACGATGAAAATTGAGTTGAAAAAGTTAGAAACGGCGTTTCCACGGTGGTCCACAAGCAAATTTACTTTCTCTGCTGTGAGCTTTTTATCCCCGCTTTTTATACATTTCTCAGATACGGCTTCTTGTCACTGGTTGTCCGTAAATGATTTGAATAGAAATTAAACACTTGTTTGAGTTGGGTACTTGAAACATCAAGCCTCGACAGTTTTACCGCTAATAAAATCATTTTGCCAAGGGTTATTAACTTATAAAATTCGACACTCGATGAGGTTTTCGATAAAAGCAGAAAGGAAATCGTGAAAACCGTGATAAAAAGAGTTAAAATAATTTCCGGTGTTCTTGTGGTTTGTAGAATATTAGGCTGTGCCTTTTTTTATAGGTGTTTTGTATACATGTACGTTTTCGCATAGTTTTTATGTAGCTAGGCTTCCCGTTTGGTACATAAAATTATCGGGCGCTGGAGTCATTCTTCGCTCTCACAAGTTTCATAATCATTTACTCTGTCTTTTGCGGTTTTGTACCCTTAAACTATCTTCTCCAAGAACAATTCCTCTTCATCCTTTACTTCAAAACATGGGCAACCTGTATATATGAAATAAGCGATGAAAAATAAGATGCGCAAAACATCGGATCCAGATGTAAGAGGTTGAATGGCTCTCGAAAACATGACGTCACACTTTTCCACTATGTTGGAACCGGTCGCGTCAGCCAGTTTCCTATCCAGTCTTTCCATTATCCATGGTAAAATAAGATGCAATTGCTGAAACTATGGCGACAATCAGAATTTAGGTGTCTGAGCAGAATTACCAAAGTGAAGCAATTTTTGCGAGCACTGCCGACAGGCAGAATGAACTATTTAACGTTCAAGCAGATTTTATACTTAGCTTAGCCTACCGTAGCCAAAATTGTCAGTAAATCACTTCGCAAACTTTACTAAGTGGCCTCCTGTCCATTGTCCGAAGAGGGTTACTTATTAGTTCTACCGTATATAGCTGTTCAGCAACTGCGGCGGACTGGCTCTGCAAACAAAGAGGTACTTGGGCTTACACGTTAAAAGCCAGTGTCTGGTCAAGGAGCAGTTAGTCTCTTTCTGTGCAGTTAATTGTGCGGTTATTCATACAGCAAATAGCCTGTTCAGTCCAGGCGTTCAGATAGTGGAGTGCGGCGCGAAGTAAGAGAGCGGGAAAGATAGGCAGAAAGAGAGGGATTCTCTCCTTCTCTCTCACCCCCTACCCCACCCCCTCGCTGTTTTTCCTGCTCACTTCTCTCGCGCGGCAGTCCCCTTTATCTTAACGCCTGGAACAGGTTATATTGCAAGTAACTCTAGGGCTGTGATATTAACAAGTTCAAGCGACTGGGTGAGGCCAAGTTTTTTTTTGCAGACTTCAATCTAGCGAAAAACTACGCCTGTAAAGTTTTTAAGAATGTCACTATTTTCGTCAGTGTTTAGGGTAAAGCTCTGGGGCTTCGGCATAACAGAAGCGCGCTTGTGGGTGTGATTACTGAACAGCTCTGAACAAATGTCGTGACCTTCTTGAAAATAATTTCTTGCTTTGGTTCTACAAAAAATATAAGGGTTAACGTGTAACGGTTTCTCTGGCCTGTATCTCATGGTAAAACTCTCAGCCTAGTCTCTGCTACTAACAAGGACGTTTCATTTCTCAGTTGACTCTGAAGACTTATGCGCCGATCAATTCGAAACTTAAACATCCCAAAGTAACCCCCCTGGCATTTGAACTTTTTAAGGCATGCCTGGTCAGATTCTTCTTTTCTCCTGAGCAGAGATTCCCGCTGGGTATCCCATTGTCCCACGCGCGCTTCCTTTTTCTCTCTCCCCAGCTTTCCTACGATACAAAGAGGCCTTTGCTGAGGAGAGAAAAATTCTCCTTACAGATTAGCCCAAGGTAGTGGTCAGATGCCTCTCCCGAAGAGGAAATGTTTTGAAAATATATGATGTGTGGATTAATGAAAAGTACATATTTCGGAAGTCTTAAAGTAAGTCGGGCTTATATCTCCCAGTGATAATATACTTTGTATTAAAAAAGGGAGGGAAATTGGGGTCATGGTAACAAAACTGGATACGTGTAGCTTTTGAAGTCCTTGTCGAACAAGCCATTCGTTTACAAAAGATGTGTCTTAAACTTTAAAGTCTTCCATCTAAAGATCGCATCTATCGAACTACGTTGTTAGACGCCGGATCTTAAAAAGAATTTAGCTTGAGGCTTGGGGTTCAAATTCACCACCCCCGGGCACAAGTGATGGTCAAATGCCCGGGGTTTGCCGGGGAATGTTAAGGTTTCGAATTTGTCGGCACATAAGATTTCCAGCAACCAATACGCGCGACATCTGGAATGTCAAAGATCTAGCTGAAAACGGTCTCTAACGCTGGATGAAGGGTTTGGATTGGTGAAGAGAAGGACAAGCCATTGACGGGGTCACCGTTTCAACGGGCTGCGTTGACGGGGCCAAGTGTAAAACCTAAGGGTGCTTGATCATGATCGATCTATTCCTAGCCAGCAAAATCTTGTATAGCAAATTAAGAAATGCATAAAGCAAGCCTGACTACAGCGCTATTGGATTACATTACTCCCTTTTTCCAAAAAAGGATGAATTCAACCTCCCAGCTGTGGAGTCAGCCTTGCCTCTTCATTTATCAACTGTTTTATTTGTCTATCCACAACGACAACAACTACTAGCAGTTGCTATTAGATCTAAGCTAGATCTAGGTTTTGGATGTCATGGAACATAGAACAACGTGTTGCCGAGCCTCTTTATTAATAGATTTTCTGTCAAATTTTTTGTATTTTTTTTTTGCAGGACTGTGTTTTCACCAAAAACTTTTCTGATACTGCCCTTCATGTTTACTGGACGGGTGCACTAAGGATTGCCAGCTGCGATGGCTGCTGCAAACGTTGGTACTTTACCTTCAATGGCGCTGAGTGTTCTGCTCCTCTGCCAATTGACGGAATTGTCTACATGGAGACAGGCGGTAATAAAAATCTCCATCGCGTCCGCCATATTGAGGGGCACTGTAATAACATCCACAAAGGAAAGGTGCGTGTGGGATTCTGGATCGACAATTGCCCCGGATATGGAAATGCTGATGGCTACACAGGATACATCTCAGTGTCCCGTATTTTTGTTGAAGAGGTTCCTAAAGCTCAAGCTTAAAAGTGACTTTAGATTAAAGTGACTCACGAGATTCATGAGTTATAATAAGTTCTTATACTACAGAAAGTAAACATAGTATAGGGACCTAAAAGTAAAAGTCCAAAGTGGGAGGCAACAAAGAAGAAAAATGTATGATGGGAGTGAGTGATTTCGACTCCTACGTGGTTGGGTAGTCTGTTGATAATTTTTATAATAGTTTTAGACAGCAGTGCTCCAGATTGTTAAAAACTATAACTCACAAGTCCAGGATTTCAGCACGATCTATTAACATATGATTAAGGCATTTATTAAAGTGTATAACTAAACAGAAACGTTTGCTGTTTGAGCTTACTTAATTACTTCTCATTCAAAGTAATTCTTCTTAAGGTTTGATAATAGAGAGGTTTGTACCTGACCTGAAACTAATCAAACCTCAGTTATTCTCTTCAGGAGACTGAAAACAGCGAATTAACTTAGGTTGCTTTCGAAGTTTGACTGAGGTAATTCTCATACGTTTAGTGAGCGAATATTTTGTTCTTACTCTTGTGATAGCTAACGACAGCTAATTGTATGCGCAGTCGGAGAATTTGAGCCCGACGATTTCCTGGATGAACTCCGATTGATCATCAAAGATATGAACATCTCACTGCAGGGTATGTTTTGGATTGGAAGTACAACTCATACAAACATTGTATTTTGCAGTTTGCGATACAAATACTGAACCTGCATCACCTGTCACTAGCCTCAATGTAAAGTAAGTAGTTGCCCGGCATTTCGCCATAGTCCAGTGTCCACCGTTATAAAAGATTAATTTCCCCACAAGAAAAAATTGCTTCTGTAGCTCGCTATTTCTTTTTTTTACTCTGATTCCTGTCATGTTATCGGAACTGAGAAGTGTTGGACAAAATAACAAATTAATAGTAGTGGTAGAGGGATGAACTTAACCGGATTTTATTCCCTTTCGATTTCCTCGCAAAAAGTGGATTCCCTTTTATTAGTAAGCATAAGTGTCTTCCTGCATACTAATTTAGTGCCTTCCTGCCTATTAGTTATGTGCCTTGTCAGTGTCTAGCTAGCTGGGTAAAAATGCGTTCCTCCATACTAATAAGTGCTTCCCTCCATATATCACTCTTAAACAATAGGAACAATAGGCTTGCCTAGACTTGCCCGGTGAGTAACTTTAGTCCAGTTTGCCGGAACGTCTATATAGAGCTATTTCGAGAAAGGTTGTCGGAAAAAATGTGCACGCGACAATCCCGAAAGGTAACATGGGATATGTTCAATACACTGTTCCTGACGATTGCAGCTAGCTGTCGAATTTATTTGTCAGTGCTTTCCTTTAGCACTCGCAAACATATGTCCATGGCCTCAAGTGCTATTCTTTCCAATTTCTGTGAAAGAAAGTGAACTCAAAACCACCCACAATACCTTTTGGGATTGTCGCGTGCACTTTTTCGGACAACCTTTCCCGAAATAGCTGTATATAAAAAAGGAATAAGAGGAGCGATCTCCTAGCAGGGCGAGAAACGGCTGATAATGTCTTCTATTTAGCGCTGAAAATCGTATACATAAACAAAACATACACACATACAGAAAGTGGAGCTAAAGACTCTTTATTTCAATTTTGACTGACTATCACGCGCCATTAGTTAGTTAATTATGCGAGTTAACAAGCCCACGTTTGCATACAAATTGTTTCAGCTCCACAGTAAAAACCATTATTAATAATTAATTTAATTTTAATTTTAAATTAATAACTTAAGAAGGATCAATTAAAACACGATAAACACTCGTAATAAAATCAGAAACATTTCTTAAGACACAAGAAATCAACTTTATGACCCTTTATTAAAATAATTGCAAAAAGCAGAAAGGATGAAATACTCAGTGATTTAAAAGAAATCTATTAGAATATTCAAAGTTAAGGCAAGCTATCTTTTTTTACACTATGCATAATTTTTTCTTACCCCTCTCCCTTTTCATTTCTATTTTCCTCCTCCTCCACAATTTTATTATTTTCCCTCCTCAATTTTTTTATTCCCTCTTCCACAACTTTAATATTTTCCCTCCTCCCCCACAATTTTATTATTTTCCCTCCTCAACCTTGATTTCCCTCCGTCTCCTCCGCCTCCTCACTTATTCTATATATTTTTCCATCCACAAATAGATCGACCCCATATCGACCCCACATCGACCTTAGACTCAACTTTTTTTCAACACAGCTTCGTGAATAGTTCCACTATATAAAACCACCACCATCACCCCATTTCTATTGTTTTTCCTCCACCACCACCACATTTCTATTGCTTTCACTCCTTCTTTTATTTTTCCAGCAGACAGGTTATATAGAAGGTCAGCCAGGCCAGACCCAGGCCAAAAAGGCCAAACCCAAAAAAGCCAAAACCAAATAACCTGCCTACTAAAAAAAAAAAAAAAGGAAAAGTGAAAACAATAAAAATGATGTGGTGGTGGAGAGAAAACGATAGGAATGTGGTGGTGGTGGTGGTGGTGATGATGAGGGTGGAGAGAAATCCATAGAAATGTGGCGGTGGTGGTTGTATATAGTTTCACTATTCACAAAGCTGTGTTGAAAAAACGTTGAGTTTAGGGTCGATGTGGGGTCGATATGGGATCGACGTATTTGTGGATGGAAAAATATATAGAATAAATGAGGAGGCAGAGGAGGAGGAGGGAAATCAAGATTGAAGAGGGAAAATAATAAAAATTGTGGAGAAAGGAATTCAAGAAGAAGAGGAGGTGGGAAAAATTTAGAATTGTAGAGAAGGAGGGAATTTAAGAATGAGGAGGGAATCAAAATAATAAAATTGTGAAGGAGGGAATAAAAAAAATTGATAAGGAGGAGGGAAAATAATAAAATTGTGCAGGAGGGAATAAAAAATTGAGGAGGGAAAATAACAAAATTGTGGAGAGGAGGAAAATAAAAAACAAAAAAAGAGAGGGGTAAGTTAAAAATTATGAAAAAATGGTTTGAATGCAGAGGTCCACGCAACGCGTAAATATAACTGACTAGTTCCTCTTGCCGGATCTCTAATCAAGGAGATGCTGTAGCCGGACGTCGCTTAAAGTGTGAAATAAAACAAAACTGAATGCAGGGCTGGCACAGCGGCAAACAGCTGATTTATTATAGGCTAATATTTCGGCTAACAAAATTAGCCTTCCTCATGGCCAGAACCATACCGAGAGAAAATATATTTTAACGGCTCCTAAAATTTGAATTTAAAATTCACATCAGTGGTTAATAATTAACTAGAATTATTAATACTAGATAGAATAATATACAGGTAAATGATTATACAATCAAAAATAGAAATAGAAACAGTCAAGCAATGTTCATTCCTTCGGTTCAGACCGCCTGGCGACAGGGTTTTGCCTCTATCTATGAGGTACGCTTCTCTTGCCTTACTGCGTGACATGCTGAGGGTGGGTTGTAATTCCAGTGGAATAAGTTCCATGTCTACGATCGAGTGGCCAGGTTGATAAAGTGGGAAGGGACTGCTGTTGTGGCGTTTGCGTGGAGTGGATTGTTTGTTGCCCGTCTATGTTCTTTAAAGCGTTCACGAAGTGTGCGTTTAGTTTCACCTATATCCTGTTTTTTACATCTTTCACATTGGATCACACTATGGTTTCAAGATTGATGATCTTCTGAATAAATCAGATAAAAAAGGGTGAACGAAAAATAACTTACCAAAAATAATTTTCCACTGAAATCTTTTTTACTTGACTGGACGCCATTATTTGGCTGGTATAGCTTCGCATCCGACTCTGGCGGCTTAAACCACGTGACGTTGGGGACATTGAGCAATAACTTCATTTGACCCACGCGTAGCGCAGCTCCTTGGCTAGTGTCTATGTTAATAAGTACTTCGTCTCGCGGCGATGGTTTTCCAGAGGAGAATGTTTCCTCTACTGTATAACCGTCAATTAGCTTTGGATATTCTCGGTCAAAACTGCCTCCTAACAGCAAGAAAGGTTTTAACTAATACTTAGATGCTTGCTTACAATAAATTAACACGATAACGAGCAAAAGATTACCTTTACCTTAACTCTATAATGCACCAAACCTCAGTAAACCCAATAAGATTAGGCATTTATATTTAAAGTAAATGTCTGGGGGAAATCGTGATCAGTTGATTACCCCTTAACGGCCGGGTTGTTGGCTATTATTTTCTCTGGAATCGTTTGCTCCCATACATGGAGAAACGTGGTAAGAGATGGCTCACACAGGGATGATTAGAAAAGGAAAAGATTAGACGGCGAGAAGTCTCTCTTTAATTTTCCTTCAGAATTTAGTGAGAAGAGTGCCCGCGGGCGAGCGTCGAGCGGTGAAGCTGCGAGACGCGAAAAACGAGGGCGACAGCCCAAGAAGAGAAAAGAACCTCTCCCGTCTAGCGCCTTCAGGCATTCGCGTGGTCATTTTTGTGTCTCGAGCGTTTCGCTCCACGGACCTAGAGAAAAAGAGAGACTGCTCGTAGTCTAAGAAACGTTGAATTTGCTGCATTGCTTTTCTCTAGTGTGAACAAATATAAAATGAGCCTACTCCTATATCAACTACTAGCAAGGTCATTATGGATTTAATCCTCACCTGCTAGACTGATTAACGTTGGATACCAGTCTGTCACAGTTCTCTGTTTTTCACGCCTTTCTGTTGCAGTAATTTTCCATGGACAAATGCAGCCCCTCGGGTCCCTCTCTCCCACACGGTATGTTTTGTACCACGGAGGGGCCACTTGAAATCTCCTGACCTTCGTAACCCGACATTATCATTACTGAGTATAACAAGTGTGTCATCCCGTAACATTATCTTTGGTTGAAAAAATATGGCAAAGTCATTGTGCTGTTTGAACCTGCTTTTGGATATAAAGCCTTTGGAAAATATGAAATGCACTCAAGGTCTTTAGTGCTTCAAAGCAATAATTTTGCATAATTTTGCTTTTGGCTGCAAGTATTTTAACAAATTGTCCATCAAGGACAAAGACCATCAAGGCCCGTGAGGAGGGGTA